GAAGTAAGGCTTTTCAGAAGTTTAAAGCATATTCTTATAGAACTCGACGAGCTGAGTTCAATGCTTTTTTCAGATTTCGAAAATCTTAATTCTGAAGCGAGTTATAACGAAAAAACGAAAAAGAAACGCGAATTTGCGTTTTTCGCGTGTTTTTTTCGATTTTTTACGGCGAGTACCGTAGTTTTCCACATGGTTAGACTCGCCACAGAGAGACGAGTCCAATGGTGTAGAGCACCAATCATTTGACCCGCTTTGGGGGGAGTTATGAAGGGGCGACGCTTTGCGACGCTGCAAATCCGTCGCTCAGCGGAGAAATTTCAAAAGTTAGTGGCGGTATTGTACAGTGTGCGAGTGCCGACAGATCTACAGTGTTTAGACTCGGATTCTCATTGTTTACTAAAACGCACACAATATTTCGTTCGTTTCTTTATACGCGTCGTGGAGGATGGGTTTTCGGCGATAGAGGAACAGCGAAAAGGGAAAAGTGGTCGAGGTCTAGGGCTCGCCAAGCGCTCTAGGCCTCGACCACCCCCTTTCAGCAGTTCCGTTCCATGCTATAGATCACAGACGCTAGCTGACATTCATTTCAGTGTCTTACCTCTCAGCACCAGCACTTACCAGTCATAGAATTTATGGAAGCTCTGGTTGCTCCCAGTCCATGGAATCCACGTCTGTCTGTGTTCCTTCCCATGTGCACAAAACTACTGTGGTATCGTAATGGCTGCGGTGTTAAAGACAGCGAGTTCAATAACTTGATATTGTATAAATATGAATGCAGAAGCAAATGATGAGGCAAGGTGAAAGAGCTCAGCTTCCCCTACCGTCCGACTACCGTTCCCATTGATGCATATGCTTTCCACTTCTTCGCATTCACTTTTGAAGCAACATTTCCAGATCGAATTGGTGAGGTAACAGCGGTTGATAACGATGGTGAGGGAAGACCGCCCTGGACGGGTTTTTTGAACACAATCAAATCAAACACAACAACAAACACAATCATCGCGATGCATCTGTCTTCAACCATACGCCCTTTCAAAGAACGAGAAGAGCGTCGGGCGCAGACCATACATCACAAGTGACGACGACCTCCACAAAATGTAAATTTTCCCTCTGCACCCGACGCTCTTCTCGTTTTTTGGAAGGGTAGGGACCTGTCGGCTATCTTAACAGCTACGTCGTAATTCACGTTACATGCTAGAGCATGATAGGTATCTCTTCCGTAAGTTTAGCCGCCACCAGATCACTTTTTAAGGCCCTAGCGAAATTGTCGTGCACTTCCCAACCGCGAAACGGCACGTCTGTGATACCCGTGAGCTACTCTATCCCATCCACAGAACTGATTCTTCGACGCGACATCATCTGGGGTTGTTGGGGTTGGGTTGTTGCTCCAAACATATGGAAGCGCTGCGGCGAGACTCATCGCATCCAAGCATGGCAATAGTGCAATACAACGAATGCGACGATCTTCTCCACCACCGCTATTTTGACCGCAACTTCACACGTTCATATACTAAAAGCAAATCTGTGCAGGCAAATTTTTATAATTTTATTACCAATAATTCTATGCCTTGCTATACTGCACAATTCAATTACATCAGCTTATCATATCTACCCTGTTTAAATCAGATACCTTCCTAATATACCACGTATAAAACAACACATTTCCTGCTACAAAGCTCGTTTCTCGAGGTTAATCAATAAGACTGCGTCCATGCTCAGCGTTTCGAGAGATCGGAAGAATAGGAGATTAGAGAGTTCACGAGTCTTCAGTGATCAGTCAACATGCTTTCGGTCAAATTTCCTAATCCTCTGATTCTCGCAAAACATGGGTTAGGAAAGCAGCCTGCTCTATTTTTTCAGTTCATAACATCACTAAAACACCTACGATATACAGTTTAACAACATAATGAGTTTCTTTGGTTGAGACACATTAACGACTAGTCTAGCCTCAAACTACTGCATCTAACAACGCCGTATATTCAAAAATAGAGGTCTTCCCTAGCGAACGAACGGAGCAATCGGAGACGAAAACTACACGGACACCTACTTCGAAGTCAAAGCCAGAGCGAACCAGACACTCAAAGGCTGAGAGATGACCTACGCCCTCACAAACCCTCGAGCATGACCTCTGCCTTTAAATGCTACAATCATTTGAAAAGTTAGCCAAAGTATATTCAGAAGTTCCAAGCTTCAAAGTTAATCCCTGTTCACCAATAACAAATAAAATAGTAATCTGCGAATAAACTAAAAATAACGTTAAGATTCCCTCAATGGAGATCATTAGTGAGCATGTTCGCCCATTCTACCAGAATCTGATCGACCAAACTGCCCTTGTTGGGATTCGCACCCTGTAGGAATGCCGTGTGGCCGCCACCACGTGTGACCACACCCACGACCGTTTCGCTTTCCTTCATCTCTTCGGTGGGGATTGCTGAAAAATAGAATTGATTTATAGCAACAAAAAAAAAGAAAAAACAATCACCATGTAATAGCACTTGCTACAGCTTTCTTCGCCTACCTGAGCAGCAAGTGATTTTGACAACTAGGAAACCTCGAAGTCACGCTCTACTGCCTAAAGCAACAGTCCCAGCAGGGTTTTTACCTTCGACACTAATGGTGTGGAACGATGCGCTAGCCCTAGTCAAGAACATAAGAAGTGTGACTGAACAAAAAACTCACCTTGGAAAGCCGCTAGAAAGGGAGCTGAACGGCTTCGAAGTGGGCGTGGTTGCTCAGTCGGCCGAGAGAATTGCAACCGACTGAGCAACCACGACTACTTCGAAGCTTCCTTTTGAAGCGACTTTCTGTTCTTGACTGGGCTAGCGCATCGTTCCACACCATTAGTGTTAAAGGTAAAAATCCTGTTTGCACTGTTGCTTTGAGTATACTAATGGGAAACTACGCAGTAGTGGTTTTCTTTCCATTATAAATTATTGGAAACACAAGCGTCACTGAGTAAACTTCACCATGGATAGACATTTGTATTATTCGCAAAAAAAACAAAGCGCGTAGATCATGAACGACTTCACTTCATGAGAACGAAGTTGAATCAAGTGCCGCTTTTGGTCTTGAGTTTTGCCGGTCATTTTTGATGAATTTATGTCATTCAAGAGCACCCTTTCTGCCAGTGGTTTTGATATGTATCATATAAATATAATATTTTTCTTGCTTGGAGCATACAAAAAGATGACTGATGTGCATTAGTACACAATACGCAGTGCCCTCATGTCGCACCAATGACTTTTTGCTACATTTAAGCTCCGCACTAGAACAAATATACATTTAAGTGCCATACATCCGAATAAAGGGACCGAACGAAGGACATCAAAACCTTCGAAAAGAACCATCAAAAAATTAAAGATCCACTGGCTTGAAAAATGATAGATAGTTCCCAATGAACCTACCGTATGTATAAAAATAGTTTAAATGTTTCCAATAACCACCAAAAGACCGAAGTCAGTAAAACTTTCAATCTTACCTTCGCGTGGGCTGAAGCAGTCGTCATCAGCATTCAAACAGAGAGTAGGAACGGGTATCTTTTTCACCTAAACATATCATTGACCACTGGAAATGAAACAAGAGACAATGACAAGTAAGACACCAACAAGCAGAGTAAGACAACCTACTTTCTTATTAGGTGCTGCATGATCGTAATAGTGATCAACCGATTCGTATCCAAAAAGTGGAGCAGTAAAACGGGTATCGAACTCCCGTATTGTTACAGATTTTTCAAAACGTTGTCGAAATCCATCATTTCGTGGTTTTCAAAATGTTCTCGGTATCTAAAATAATACCAATAGAGTCTAGCAACAAAATCAACAAAAACGAGAATAAGCGTGAAAATGATTGAAAAGATACTCATTTGAGGAGTAATTGAATTTAAAATAGGAGTGCGCCATATGATAAGTTATATTGGAAAACCCCAATTGAAGTCTTCAGTGATGACACTGATTCATGAAAATGAGGAATGTCTTCGTGTGAAAAGTTCACACAGTACGAAGTGGCTATTCTTCCCCCACTCTTACTTGATACCAGTTATATGCGGAGCCGGCACGCTACAGCGAGTATATACATCAACAATGACAAAGGCGGTGCAATGGCAAGTGGTGTTACTTACAGTGCACGGTCTGGAGGTCAGATCCCAATTAAACCTAGCCCCTTTCACCCCTTCGTAGTCGATGAGTCGGTACCAGATCACCTAAGGAGGAAAAACACGGTACCACGGCCCCCCAACTTTGACGCTACACGTGATGAGCATACTTCTTGACAAATTACGAAAAAATTGAAGCCTTTCTAGTCATTAAGATTCTAAAAAACAATAATAGAAAATAATGGTTCATAACGTTTTTGCCGAAACTCACAAGTTTCTTCGTAAGATGGCGATTATACACGTGCTTCGCAAAGAAGCTCTGAAAATATGAACTTTAAGCCCCTTCAATCATTTTTTTCTAAATGGTCCCACCACTGCAAATGCCAAGCACTACTATGTCATAACGTACTACCTCCAGGGAAGTTGTCGTAGATAAGGGATCGAAAGGAGCTGATACAATCATCGCACCGGACAACACAGCTGATTCCGCAGTACGTGTTGCCAGATAATTCCACAGCACCATCCTTTAAAATAAGTGAAACTCAAAAAATGAATAAAAACTTGCGAGAAAAAAATTCACTAACCCTCCCATGCTGAAACCACAACCAATGATCTTTGCCCTGGGATATCTCGAAGAAACCCGTTGTATAACTTCAGCAACATCGTCATGCCGCGCAGAGTTGTAAGCTCTGAATAAAGTAAAATAGAGGCGGGTAAATCAAATGAAATCACACAAAATTCAGCATTCAAATCTCACATTTTATTTCGTAACTGGACTCCTCCAAGCCCACGTGGGTTATACACTAGTACTCTCCATTTACGAGCATACATTTCTTGAGCTGGATACAATATATATGCACAATCTCGAGTCGATCCTATAAATGAAGAAGTAATAAAAAGCTAAATATCACATCCTTCAACTAAAATGTTTGAATCGTGGAACAAAAGTGACGTTAACAGAAAATGCTCAGTACACATGACTGTTGTGATGGCTTCTTGAAGGCGAATTTTACGAATAAAAACGAATTTTACGATAAAAAGGCAACCCATTTCAAATTAAGTTAGGGATGGTCAGCGCCAAAGAAAGAAAAAAACAAAGAAAAACGGCCTAGAATCCGAGAAATGAGACCCGTTCCCTAGCCGTCGATTTCCGCGTTCATGCGACTCAACGGTGCTGCTCCCTTCAATGTTAACGCTCTCCCTCCCTGATAAACGGCTCAATGCCCAGACAGAGTGAGGGGGGGGGGAAGTGGGTGGGTGGGACATACCGCGCAGATAGTGCGCCAATAGCGACAAGGCTATGCTAAATTGCCGGGTGCATATCCTTCATTACGAATTGCGTGCCGGTCCACACCTTTATGAGTCCGCCCTTCTTCCCACTAGATAGTTTCCCCTACTTCGCCTTTCGTCTTCATTCTGGAATCCTCCTTCAAAGTCCACTCCAGTTCCTAAGTAAAGCTTGACTGCATAACCGAAAAGCAAGGGATGCTGCATTTCTGTCAATGAACAATCACAACAGCAACAACAACTACAGTAACATGTAATAAATGAAACTAATGTATCGGTTTTGCAATCATCTCTTTCAAAAACATTTGCTGTCTCAGAAGCAGCACAGGAATCATTAAAATCAAGAATGGTGAAAATTAGGCAGCTTAGGATCAATGTGGGATCCTGTACCCATTCTCAAGGCACATCTCAAGCTCCACCAGTGCAGTTGGGCAAGAAAATGAAAGTAGAGATGGAAAATGGACGGAAAGGAAAATAAACTACACTGGAAAGAGCAGCGCCTCTTTCTGAGAATTTCATGAGTCTATGTAATGCAAGCTAGTGGTGGGCGAAGTGAGAGGGCAAGCTTGGGGACATGGAAGCATAGGGTACAAACGAGACGCAGATACGCTGCTGTGCGGACGTAAGGAGACGTGGCCGGCAGTCTCTACGGTCTTATCAGGTAGTTAATTAAACGCCTTTTGCCACTTCTTTCACGACCACTGTTTTTTCAAAGAAACCTGGGGAACTCCCGCTAAGCATCAGCCAATCATGGAATTGCTTTAGCAGAAACCGATGGACTTTTGATTCACGGCAATTTTTCAAGGCACTACCTGTAATTCCTGGTAAGAAAAGAATTATGGGTGCATCGTCCTTGCAGTCATCCGCATAGAGCCAATCGATACCCAAAGCACCTCCATCGGCAAATTCAATTACTTCCCTAAAATGTTGCAGAGGACGTCTAGTGCAATAAACCGCTAAAAAACTTACAAATTGGATTATTCGTTCTGTAGCTTCCTACTGTAGCCAGTGAAACACTGAGCAGGGACTCTTGGTTGGTGGTGACATTAGTACAGAAAGAATATTCCAGATAAACCTTTTGAAGGATTGTACCAGCCCATTAGGCTACGATCAAGTTGACTACTGCACTCAGGTCAATGGGAACTGGGTTATTCTCAAACCGCTGCCGTAGTGAACACTAGCACTAGCAAAAGTAGGCAAGAGTGAAAGCAAAACAACCTCAGCAAGATAAAAAGCACAACAAGAACCGACCTGACAAATGGCAATGTCGGACATTTCCTCAACGCACCATTTACGATCGTTTGCGCATCGCCAAATGGACACCACCATGGTATTCTATAGACCTGAAGAACATCACAATTAAATCCTAAACAGCAATACCATGAAAAATTCTCATTTGAAGGCGAAAACAGGATGCAGAGTTTGAGGCTGCTTCCGTGCATCTACGCAAGCTGTGGCTTACGCCCAACTACCGTGATCTCCCGAGAGACCTTTGAATTTATATGTTTCCTGCCAAAATGTAACGAAAAGCACGTACATATGTAACAAAGCCTTGAATAACGGAAAGGAAGCGTGTGAGTGAAAACAAATAAAAATTCAGAAACACGGTCCCTTGGAATGACCAATTTCAGATACATATTCTCCCGTGCATTTGATACACCCTAGAAAGAGGAGGGTAACTCAGCATTTGTGAGGTAGATGCATTACAACCCAAAGCGTTCATACAAGACCACAATACCCTATTTCCTAGCTCGATGCAAGCCGCCTGCCGTACAACGCCAGTGTTACTGTAACCCTTAACTTTCCACATTTGAAAGGATCAAGGTCGCCAAAGCAGAAAGCGAATTTTTGCTTTTCGCAACGAAGAACTGTTCGCTGTGAGAACCCAGGTCCTCCGCAAAACTAGGGGTTCTCGCAGCGGACCAGTTCCGCGCTGCAAAAAAGCGAAAAGGTCGTTTCCTGTCCTAGTGAACCACACCGCACCCTTCTAAAAGGAAGAAAAATCCTAGCCTATGCCTGGAAAGAGGAAAGGGCGCTGCTGTCGTTAGGGGAGAGTATCTCTATGCGGAGAACCCAACCTCTTTATTACTCTTCCCTATTAAATGAAAAAATAACCTCTAACGTTTGGAAAAACAAGTAGCGACCAAATTTTGAATAGAATGCCGTGTGGCAATGGTCTTTCAAAGCCGCTGAAATCTTGCTTTTCTGACAAGTGGTTCGCAAGGACCGAGAGCGACTTCTCCGATTTTTGCAGCAGCGCAGAACTGTTTTCGTTGTGAGAACTCCAGGTCCACGACGGACCTAGGGTTCTCGCAGCGAAAAACACCTCGTGCTGCGACAGGCGAAAAAGTCGCTTTCTGTCCACCACACCCGCTTCCCTGTCCCTTTGTCGCTTACACGAATTTTCCAAGCAGTCACGCCAAAAGGGATCGAGATAGCGCTTAGTTTTGGGCCATTAGAAGAAAGAAAAGAATCATGCTGGCGGTCGCCAAACAACAAACAAAAAAAAAAAAAAAAAACAATAAATAGGAGGGGGGCGCACTAGGATGCAATGATCAAAAAGTCGAGAAGAGAAGGAGTCGTATTTGTGGAGTTGAAGATCGTCGTTGCAGGAGAAAAAGTTGTCCTTCAAAGAAGCAAGGGGTAACTATTTGACGATTCTAACGAAAAAACATCGCAAAGGAGGGGTGGAATGGATAACATTAAAGATCTGCCGTTTCTTCAAATATAAATATTTACCCCTACCCACCCAGCAACCCCTCTTAACCGGAACCCATTGAAGCAGTAGCCCTTGTGGGGTAGCATCGACTAATATAACGGCATGGAAAGAACTACAGTGACACTGTCCAGCAATAAGTGATGTGACGGAATACAAAAGGAAAAATGACATACATGGTAAAGCTGTGAAAGCTATTAGTGTACGCTATGGCCAAAACTGAGTCTGACCTACAGAGCACGACATTTTCACACAAAACCCCGGCTCCTCTTCAACTTCACCCGGTCCCCATTTTCTTCATCGGAAAAGGATTTCGAGTACTAAATTCCTTTACAATTGATGTGAGTGTTGTGTTCCAAGTGGGTTAGCTTCTCCGCATAGATGCCCCTCCCCACCCCTAACAACATGCCAGGCAAAACGCCCAGTGAGTCCCAAAATACTAACTCTCACGACAGATTCTACCCTTCTCCTATGGTTTGGAATGGGCAGTGCATATGAGGGGAATGCAATTCACTGGGGGGGGGGGGGAGAGAAAACGACTTTTTCGCGCTTCGCATCGCAAAACATTTCCGCTGCGGAAAATTCCAGGTCCTATCATGTGCTCAGCGGTGGATCTGATCCCGAGGCAAAAAATGTTTCGCGGTGCAAAGCGCAAAAATTCGCTTTCCGTCCTAGCAAACCACACCCAAATATCATTATACCAACGCTGCATTAACTCCCAACTTTGTTCGCTCACAATTTCCTAGGTAAGTTTTCGTAGCAGTTTTGCTTTTCATTTGTAACCAACATTCTAGGCTCTATCAATTTACCTGCCTCAATTCAAAGTTGCATGGGAATTTGAAACGCTTTCCTGGTACACCCAGGAGAGGGGGAAACACTAGGGAGAACAAATATTGCTCACATCCTTCTCATGCATCCTTCCCCCCCCCCTTAAACCTCAGTCCCAAGTGCTGTAGACATTTCATCACATGGATGTCCCTCCTAGCGACATGAGAACTGAGCTCCCACTAACTATGAAAAACTATGGATCAATAATAACAAATTGGTGAAAAAATCATGAATACATACTTTTTGCAGAGCTGGCACATTCTTCTTGACTCTAACCAAAAGGGACCCATCCGCTTTTGCATAGATTTGTGGTTTCTGAAATTGATTACCATATTTGTATTATATTTTTGCAGCGAGATAAAGTGCCTTTCCCATGAAACATTCAACGTACTTTAGAGGAAATCCTTGAATACAGCCATAATGATGTCGGCAAAACGACGATAACAACACCGATGTAAGCCAACATCGTGATGAGCCGTGCGAGTAAACTGAAACACACCCATGAAGTACGAATCAGTATCACAAATGCAAAGCGCAAACAATAAATATCAAAAACAATTCCAAAAAAGAACAGGATGAAATAAGCAGTTTTAAATGGAAATCGAAAATTCTAGGTAAAACTCACTGTTGGGTCTTTTCTGATTAGTTGATTAGGTCAGGTAACAGCCAATTCCATCTACGTAATAAAGTAAATAAGTGATTAGTTCCAGGAAAACAGATAAGCAACCACACAGAGCTGCGCCGCTCACTTCGATCCGCGGCATGGCCTCGCCCCGCCCCCAAGCGCTAGGGGTCCTGTCGACACTTTGTGCCAGTGTTGAACGAGGCCGCTTGTCATGTCTATTCATCATTGTGACAGAAAACCCATTTTGAAGCTCTTGGGTGGTTTGGACGAGCAGAAGAGTTTTGCAGATGCAAGCACACAGGGGGTGGGTGGCGGGTGGGGTAGGGGTAGGGGTAGGGGTGTCCGTGTTTACAGTGTATGCCAAACAAACTTCATACTATTTTCACGAAATTGAAAGGCGCTCATGTCTCGGGGAGAGGGGTTTTGCAGATGTAAGCGCATAGGGGGTGGTGGGAGAGGGGGGGGGGCATTCCAGTGAAAGGGCTACTTTCACCACATGGGACTAAGCCTCAGAGAAGGGAAGGGATTCTACAGTATGAGCAATTTGTGTTTCCCTGACACTTTCTCCTAGTGTCACCTGTCATCGGCCCTTTTTGAATGCCCCCCCCCCTGCGCCATGAGCGTCAATAAAAGCTCTACAACTATGTTCTCCTTGATGTAGCACACTACTGGTCGATATCAGAGGGCAAAAACCCTTCTATCAGGCCAAACCAAAGGCATCTCAAATTTGGCGTCGTGGGTAGAGGCCAATTTTCAACCCCTGATATGTATACCACACCAGGGACAGGCACCATGTTGAGCGAATATCGAGGTCTATGAAACCGTTCCACGAAGAAGGGATGAATGGGTACCCCCAGGAGGCCCGTCGCGCGGCAAGAAGGCAAAGTCAGCGGACGAGTCGCGCGCGTACTATAGGGATTTCGCGTCAAGTTAAATAGAGTGTCCCATTGCACGTCCTACATCGCACACCACGCGCTGCAACTCGTCCGCCGACTCTGCCTTCTTGCCGCGCGACGGGCCTCCTGGGGGGTACCCGGGATGAATCCCCAGCACTCAGGATTAGGAGGATCTCCTGCGCTTGTTTTACAAAACAAACGAGGCCTTCATTCCTTTACCTTGAGTTTCCTTCCTCTAACTACCACAATCAACAACCACCAGTTTCCACTTCTTAAAGGAATCTTCCACGGACCATGGACCAGTGGGCGGGACCGGAAGTGGTTTTGCGACGAAATGCATGGTAGGTACGGATCCACGTTCATGGGAAGGTTTGAAGTGAATCCTGTTCACGTTCGTGCGTTCGACACGTGGATCCGTACCTACCATGCATTTCGTCACAAAAACTTCCGGTCCCGCCCACTGGTCCATGGTCCGTGGAAGATTCCTTTAAAATTTGACGTCGATTCGGGGAGGTGCATATAAATACGTAGTTTCCGTGCAGAGACGTGTCGTAATTGCAGAACAGGTAATATGTGTGGCATCAGATGACATCAAGAGCATCAGAAGCATATGCAGTATGTTTTGGGACATAATCTGTAATTACGACACGTTCGGCCGTGGAAAACAGAGTAAAATGTGCAATAACCGTTAACACAGCAGAGATCTATAAATGTAAATAAATACCAATGAAGAACCCCACATACGGACTTGAAAATCTTTGCTACGTTTCTAAAAACCTTCGACTCTTCTGCAATGAACATTTGGATATCTAACATTTC